ATGATCAATCCACAATAACCGGGGTCACATTCATCATTCAAACCTTCACTAGGCATCTTTGATTTAAGGATTTGACAGAAAGTACCTAGTCTTTCTACTCTTGATCAAAGCAAAATTTGAACAATAATTTATCGGTTACTCATTAAAACATCTCCACGTTCTTGACATCAATCGAAAAAGCTTCTGGTTCGACAATTCAAACCGAGCCCTGTTGCTACTTGACGTGCCACCGATTATTGTGCTTGTGTTTATGCCCGTCTCTCTAGCCAAATTTTCAATATCATCTCGACTTTCTATTAGTCTATCAAAGCAAATGTACCTCCCGGATGCTGTCTTTTTCATCCCCTCGAATACACATACATGTGCCTCTGCTAATCTATTTACGTCGACGGTTGCTAGCAAGCCATGCGCGTACATTTCTTGAACACCTTTGAGATAAGCAATTGTAGATGTTGGACTACGACGGTAGAAATCTGGCCCGGTGATAAGCCCGGGACAAATGGTCGCAAGTTTAACACCGCTCTCCCTGGCAACTTCCCAAGCAGATTGTTCTGCCTTCAATTTCCCCAAAGCATACCAGAGCTATAAATTCCAGAGAAAATTGAATTAAACTGCATTACATCTCACTAATTCGCTTACAATTCTTGATTTATCGGATCATGTACTGGAAAACTATATTAGTTTTCAAGGAATTACCTTTTTGTTTAGGCAGACGGATTCATCGCTCCAGCAGCTATGATCAATTAGAAAAGGGAGTTCATCACAAGAATGATCTCGCCAAATACAGGTCAAAAGTGAGGATGTGAGTACGCAATGTCTAACTGAAGGTGTAACCCCACACGCCTTTACAACATTTTTACTTGCATTCACTTCAATCTCAGCCATAGCTTTCTGGAAAACATTAAATTTTCATGACTTTGCTCCTCAGAAAGGAGAGAATAAAACTAAATGCAGGTATAAATGGTTATTCACTTCCAAAAATGGAAATTTAATGTCAAACTAGGAGTAACATATAAAATTGAATGTGCTTCACACACTCCAACACTAGTTACATTTATACTGCTATAGTATTATTTACTTGAAGAAGCCATATAGCAGAGTCGCATATCTACCCTAATTTTTTTTTTTACTTATCCAGAATGACATCCGGCAAATACCGTAACTTTCCTTGGTCATCTTGTTAACTGTTATCTCATCTCCTGGAATCAGTATACGTTTGTATAAACCATTTCAACAAAAAGCTTACACTACTAAGAGAAGAAGAAACTTATTTGTTTTTATTTTCTCTTCGACAAGCCCCTCACTGAATACCTTAAACGTCAAAATTTCAAACTCGATACCTGTGCTTGCTTTGTATCATATTAACCATCTTATCTATCCGTCTTATGTAAAAATTCAATTTTATATTTTGTCTTAGATAGTTAGAAACCGATAGAATGAAATTGTGTCAACTACTCAACAACAAACGCTCGTCAAGTACAACATAATGAGGATATTTGTAGATGTATTGTAATTGCAAAAGGCAAATGATAAGAAAGAGAGAACTTTCTAAATGTTGCCATCAACTAGGCACACGCTACTGATTATTCAGGCTATCAAATTATGACCTCAAGATCAGTGCGATTAACAAAATGACATCATATGAGACCATTTGAGTTATAATTAAAGCAGCATTCTTTGTCTCTATCATAATTCAATAATTAAAAATGAGACATTTCATTCTATTCCATTAAACAGGGCATGCATTAAGACTGATTGGCAAGCTGTTGAGGGGAGAAAATGGAACATCGAAAGAACAAGCACTCACCGAATAGCCAGATAACCCGGCAGGGTCGATAAATCCAGCAGTGTGAAACACGCCACGGCAACCATCAATTGCATTGGCCAGGCTTTCAATTTCATTCAGCTTAGACATGACTATTTCAATAATACTATTGGTAAGTCTCATTTCGCCAGATATTTCCATCTCCCTCAGCTTCTCCACATCTTCTGCATTTCCAGTTCAACACTAATAATTCATTATACCACAATGGAGAGAAATCTCAGAAAAGGAGAAACATTGTAATCTGCATTTTTTAAATCCTAAAAAGTAAAATCGACAGTGGTTTTTCAAAAAGAAATTTATATGATGTAAAGCATACTAATGAAAAGCAGATGTTGGATCCATCTATGTCTGCACACATAAATTAAGCAAGTCGATGTTGCCAATAATCTAAAAAAGTAATTCATTAATTAAATTAAATTAAATATTTTTCATTAAGTTATGAATACGAATAAACATACGTGTGTGTGTGTGTGTGTGAGAGACAGCATGAATCACGCTCACAACTTGGGTAGCACCGGCAGGAAAATATAAGGCGGCCAGTTATCCAAAACAGACCTTCATTATCAACAATGATCCGCACGGAGTAACCATGGACGAGGAGCTGGTTCACAACAGCGATACCGAGGTACGAAACGCCGCTGGTGACACACACTAACTTCTCCAGTGCGTCGTTGTTTCCAGCTCCGGAGATCACAGGATCTCTGTCTCTCAAATCGTCACCGTCCTTTCTCCGGTGTCCGGCAGCGCAAGACAGTAGCATACGGCGGAACTCATCAATATCCGCATTCTCAGTCTCGTGCAATCGTAAAATCCCCATTGAAGCTAGGAGGTTTAGGAATGACAATCGGCCATCACGCGTTAAGCGCCTCGTCTTTTATGCTTGTTGACGACTCAAGATGGCTTGGCTTGTCATCAGCTCGAAGGGCACTTTGTTAAGTTTTTTTCATTTGCTATTAATCAATGAATTTTTTTGTAGGGCCCACCCGACAGGCTGCTCAACCTCATCCATTCATATCTATCATGTTTATAAATTAATAATTTAACTACCGATTAATTATATCGGCTTGGCTAAAGAAAAGATGGCTGGGCTTGATTTTGAATGATCCGGCTTAGCCTATTAGGGTGGCTGATGGTAGATGGAAACCCGTCGCTAACGTCACAACCGGTGATTTTGACTCTATCACTCATCGTAGAATCTACCAAATTTCTTGATCTGGTAATTGCGGACGGTTCATCAATCTTTGCAGTCCAGATAATAAGAGATTTTGCGCGACCACAGGAACCACGTTGTACAGCGAGACACCTATTTTATACTAATATACGCCTCGACTTTTCTTTCTTTTTCTGTTACACTGATTAGAATTTCAATCTTGCTACACCAGGTGTCACGGGCAGCAGCCTTACTTAAGCCCCGTGACGCTATCGCAGCCGCTGCACTTCGGCTGCACATTGTAAATATTTCATTTAATTGTAAAATAGTTGATAATTAGAAAATTTTAGTATGATTCATCGGCCAAAAGACGTCTACTGGTGTCATTT